GGCGTCGCTCCGGTCATCTTAAGGATGTTTATTGGTTCCCCGAAAACGATGAAAACCCGGAATTATCATTAATCAATAAAATCCCCGCGGGCCGAACTTGAAGATTGGACGTTATGATGCTAACACTTAGCTTTCGTCAACAACTCAGAGGCGGAAGTCAGAGCTCTGCGCAACGCAAATAATGTTCCGGCCGGAACACGGCGCGCTAAATGATAAACAACGAAGCTTCCAGGCAGGAAAATTTTAATCTAGGAATTTTAATAATCGAGGTACTCCAATCATTCGAGGAATCGTTTCAGCAGGGAACTGGTTAGCATATCAAAAGCTCAAATATTACCTGACCTTTGACCCCAAGTCTCAGTGGAGTTGAATATGAGAATATAAAGAGGAGCAGCAAAAGCAAAGGAGGTGGACGAGCAGAGCTAGCCAACAGCCGATGATGTCATCATGTTGAATATGGTCGATGCTGCGCTGTTAGCATGTCATAATAATCATGAGACTTTAATCAGGAACAGTCTTCAGTCAGAGGCTTCTCCAGAGCCGTTGTAAGACTGACTGCTACTGGAGAGCCGTCCAGGCCACAGCCACGACTGAAAGTCAATAATCTACAAACCAAACAGAAAAACAAAGATAAAGAAATTCACTTAAAATGAAAGTAAAGATGAACAAACAACTAAAACTAACAGAGAAATGAAGTGAATATGGAAAAACATAAATAATCCAACAGAAATGATCCAAACCCAGAAGCATCAGAGCAGCAAAGACTCTTTTTATCGGCCAAACATCCTTTCATCTGTTTTTATTGATTTTCATAATTGTTTAGTTAATATTTTGCTGATTCTCTGCTGATGTTCAATGACAATTTGATAAAAAAAACTTTAAGGGATAATCTACACATCATCTTTCCATAAAAATTACTGATAAACTTTAAGTTTGTCTGGAAAACAACCAAGATAAAACATGAAACAGCAGTTATTAAAATAAACAACCTCTCGCTCCATTACTTTGTGTTTCATCATGAACATCTTTAATTAAACAGGTCAGGTAAATAATTGACTTTTAAACAGTTTTTATTATTTTTATTTGAAGCCATTTTTAATTGTAATGTCTCTGCTGGTTCCTTAGTTTCTGTTTTCAGGTCGATGTTTGGATCCATCGAAACGAGTTGAACCTCCGGCCTCAAACATCTGATTCTGATTGCATGTCATCGGATTTATGCACCTAACGTATAAATATCGGTTATTATAAAGCTTAATGAAGCTTTCTTCTCAGCTCTGTTGTTGTTTTCGCCGTTTCCTGTTAAATCTCCTTCCTGCTGAATCAATATTTCTGTAAGTCTCGTAAAATGAACTCATCACAGAGAATAAAGAGCCGAACAGAAACAGCAGGCAGCTCAACGGCAAACAATTAGCCCAGGAAATCTGTCAAACTCTGGGCTGAGAATGAAAACACTGAGCTGCAGCAGAGTTCAACTTCCTCCTCTTCCTCCTTTTATCCACACAGAAGCCAGGCGGCTGAGTTCAGCTGTGCAGCAGGTAACTGGTGATGTTAGTCTGTGGAAACCTTTTCCTGTAATCATGATGAAAGTTTAGATTGAAGAGACAGCAGCTCTGTCCCAGACGACCTCACTTCCTGGTTTCCTGGACTCTCGTCGTCAGGAGGACAGACATCATCCAGAGCCGTTTTCTGCTGTTTGGGTAAATGAATGAACGTTCATTCACAGACAGCTGAAAGGTCGTCTCTTTGGGTTCTGGTTCTGGAAGGTTCTCCATGTCCGTCTCTTCAGCCATAGATGTTGCTTCATGTTGTCTGTTGCTGTGGTAACAGAGCTGATGACAAGAGCGATAACTCTGCTGGGATTTCCAGCCGTCTCTGGCTCTGCTCCTCGTCTCCAACACGTTTCTGATGATCTGAAATATGAATACATTATTAAACAGATTCTCTTCTGGGATCAGGGCTCATGTTTCCTTCTCCGGCCACGAGTCCGACACGTCTGGCACCATATGGACCGACATGATGATTGCTGTTCGTATCTGACAGAAAACCTCAGAACGTCTTCAGTTTGGATGAGATTTATTTACCCTGGAGGCTGAAGCCAGAAGCCTCAGAGAAATTAAAAGTCTCTGTAACTCATAGTAGTGGATCCCTGGTATTCACAAATCTGCAAATACTTGAGACTCCATTTAAATCGTTTATAACTGCCTCTTTTAATAGTTCAAACACCAAATATACCTTAAACTGCATTAATAATCACAGTGGAAACTGTCTAAGCACTACAACATAAGCTAGGATCTACAGCCTTTTTCATCTCCACTTTTAGGGATTTCAACCAATCGGCTCCAAGGAAATGGAGTAGTGCTCCAGGATTGGCTGCTTTGCAAACTTCATCCAATAACCTGTTCCCCTCCTGGCCTGTGGGGGCGCTGCACCAAGAACCACTGAAGGAATCGACACAAAAACCTCTGAAGACACTGAGAGCAACTTCCTTCTTCACCAGATGGAAACAAGATGGAGGCGTCAGATTTTAGCGTTGGAGGATTTCTCTTTAGGCTAAAGAGAAATCCTTAGGAGCCATTTCTGCTGCTAACGCTGCTAACGCTGCTAAGCTAACACGTTAGCTTTGGTTGTATTTACCCAGAATGCACTGCACTGTAGTCCACTTCTTGGTTTTGGAGCGGTCTGTGGTCCGCTTGGCGTTCAAACCGAACCAGAGTTCACTTCAACCGAACCCAGACCGATGTTTGGAGGACCAGAGTTAGCTTAGCGTTCACACCTCAACAGACAAACACAAGTTTCTAGGCAGATGGACTGGAGTCGGGTTAAAGCGGACTAACGGATGGTGGGAGTGATTCAGCCTTCCAGAAGTCTCGTCTGCTCTGTTTCTTCTTCCTGACAGTTTTGGTTCAAGCTGTGTTTCCTGTTTCTCTCTGTGTCTGACGTTCCGAGGGCGAGTGAACACAATGCGGCCATAAAGTCTGTGATTCCTCCAGAAACTTTAAGCAGAACTTTGATGACAGAGTGGTGTGAAGTCGAGGCCAGCAGACGAGCCTCAGTGAAGCGGAGCCGGGCGGATGATGACACGGTGTGATGCAACGGGGATGGGGGCAGGAGGCTCAGGCAAATAGAGTGATTGGTGAGGGGAGTATTCATTTAGGAAGACAAACAGCTTCATTTAAAGTTAGCCAAGCACAGAGACTCCCTGCAAACTGCAAATGGGTTGAAATTTGCATCTTTTCACAGACGGGGTTCCAACGTCTCTCCTCCCTCTCTGGTCTCTGTCTCCAGAGATAATGGATTATCCTGACAGAGCTTCTGTCTTTGATTGGCTTTGCAACACGTTTTCCATCTGCTTTCGCCAAAGTAATTCCTCTTCGGTCCTGATCTGCCGCTGATATCGTCACGGCCGTATTTATCTACAGCATGTAAGGAGCGTTTGCTGTTTTCTGTCATTCCTGGAGAGCGAGCAGAAAGCCGACGCACGCAGAGATCGGAGTCATTTCACGACTATTAAACCGCACAAATGACAAACTCTCCACCATTACATCTGATTCCTGCTTATCTTTCACCATTACAATCTGCTGATGCTTTTTACAGCTGAGAATGAAATTAAAGTTTGGAGCCTGGCAAACAGATCATGATGATCGTCTGCTGAACAGTCGCAGCAGTAGAAACGGTTTCAGCAGCATCTTGTGTTTGTGTGGCAGGTAGACGATCTGATGCTCTCTGCTCTGTTTTGATGGAGAATATTGATTTGCTGTTCGTAGTTGATGTCATTAAAGAGCATAAACAATTACTTTCATAACTACAGCCGGTAGCTCTCAGTATTTATCATCATGTCTGAAATGTAAAACATCAGTAAAGAAAACCGCAGCGCAGCCTTGAATCTAATTTTTATTCAGATACTTCATTTATCCCAAAAGGGAAATTAAATATCGTCATAACTCAGATAATCCAAGTTCATTCAGTCGTCGTTGAGCAGCAAGGAGCTCCAGTAGCAGTCAGTCTTTCAACGACTCTGAGGAAGCCTCTGACTGAAGACATGACTCTCCTGACATGCTAACATGCTAACAGCTCAACATCCAGGCAGCAGAGACGATATTTCACACAGACCTGTCATGGATTTTGGGTCATATTTCAGTAATTATTTAGGTTTTTCAGATGCTAATCAGTTGTTATAAACAAAACAATTTTTTTAAATGTACATAATGTGCATGTGTGTTATGTGCATTAAAAACACGTTGAGGCCAGGGCTTCGTAATTAGCATGTTGCTGCTTTTTGAAGTTTCCATGAAGTGAATTTATTTTTTAATTCCTATTTGAGCAATTTTACAGTCGACAGAAACGCAGCTACTTTGAGTTTAGCTGCGTTATGACATGAAGTGAAATGTTATGGCCTAAAACAGAAATGAATTTACAGTCAGGAGTCAGAACATGGAAACGTCTCTCAGCCTCGGCTGAATGATCTCGTTTCTGTTTCGGATGATTTTACTGAATAAAATGAGATTTAAACGTTTCCTCTGATAAATTTTCAGTTTTTCTTTGTGCCTCCATCACTTTGTCTCGGGTTGAAGCAGAAAGAAAACTGGTTGAAGGTGATTACAGCACCTCTTCTAGGTTTAGGTGACTGGAGTTGTTAGTTTACAAGAGAATTTTTATGTTTCCAATTACAGATCATGTCTTGAGGAGTTAATTGCTACCTGACCCTTGGAGCTGTTACCAAATGTTTGTTTTATGAACCTCTAGTGGCCGAAGCAGAGCAGTTTTATCTCACCGGCCAGGAGGAGGTCAGTGATGACGGTCATGAAGCTCGTTAGGACGAGGCGTCCGTGTTTATCCTCTCAGACCAACATCGGATGGATTCTCCCGTTTGGTGTTTATTTTCACTGAAACATTCAGAGCAGGTTTTACTCGAGTTGCTGCTGAGCAGCAGCTGGGCTGCAGCTGCATCAGTGAACTGGCTTCTCCTCCGCCCTCACCGTCCTGTTGGTGTTTGTGTTCAGGCACGCCTCCGGCCACCGGGACGGGGACGCTCATCATCCATCTGGAAGACTACAACGACAACGCCCCGTTCGTGGTGCCGTCGGTGGCGCAGGTGTGCGAGGACGCCGGCGACATGAACGTAGCTGTGGTCGCAGGACGGGACAAAGACTTGGCGCCCAACGCGGCGCCGTTCAAGATAGAACTGGGGAAACAACCGGGCCTGGACAAAACATGGAGGGTCACCAGAATCAACTGTGAGTGTTTAGTCAGGAAGCAATAATAACAGTTACAGAACCCAGATATTTATCCACTCTGGATAAAACAAACCTTTTGTTGTTTGTTTCAAACGTTTGCTTAAAATCCACAGCAGTAGGAAGGATATGAGGCGTTTCTTCAGTCTGTTAGCTGCATATGTTCACCGACAATATGAACGTTTTTCCTCCTCTGTTTTGTCTTCATGACGCTTTGCTCCTCGTCCAGAAAGAGATGATTATAAAAACTATTCATATTCACTCATCATCTGTCCAGAACCTGCTGAAGCTCAGATGACGAGAGAAACGGAGAAATGAAATCCTGGTCGAGTGAAAGGAAGGAGTTCAGTGTGCTAAGCTAAGCTAAGCTAAGCTAAGCTAAAGCTAAAACCTGACGGTCACCGTCCACCTCCACTACTTCTCCCATTTTGGACACAGTGTGTGACCTTTGACCCTCCTGAAATCTAAATTCACCTGATTTGTTCACGTCCCAGAAGAGATGAATGTTTCCACACAAAACGCTCCAGCAGCTCCGGTTCTGATCCGCCTGCAGAGTAATCAGAGTATTTGTGCGGGAGTCGGACTCTGACGTCATCATCTGATCGTGGAGGATCTGCTGCTGACACGGCGCTGTGTTTCATGGATTCTCCTTTGTTCAGTTTCTCCTAAACGTTCAGATGTTTCTGACTCTTGGCTTCACAGCTGGATGAAATGTTTCTCCTAACTGTTGGAGTTAACCCCCGCTCTGCTGGAAAGCACCCGGCCTGATGCCGGGCTGAGCAGCTCCTGTTTTGTCTCATTACAGCATAAAGTGAAGCGGCTGCAGTGTTTCTGTCACAACTGGAAACTGGTTTAAAGATGATGCAACGCAATGTAACCGTCTTATGCAACTTAAAGTGCCACCAATTTCTGTTGCTTGAGTGTTAAGGAAAGTCTAACCTGGTAGTTACTTCAGGCTGACACACACCTACACACACACACACACACACACACACACACACACACACACTGGTGTGCAGAATAAGCATTAATGCAGAGCAGATCTCCTAATTCTCCGTTGCTGTGTCCCTGCAGCCACTCATTCCCAGATCATGCTCCTGCAGAGTCTGAAGAAAGCCAACTACCAGCTGCCGCTGCTCATCACGGACTCAGGGGTGCCCCCTTTGTCCAACAGCACAGAGGTCAAAGTTCAGGTGTGCATCTGTACAAAGACCAAGAGATACTGCAGCTCCGCCCACTCCCACCGCACTAGCCTTGTTGTGCTGCTGTCGACACTGCTGCTTGTCCGTCTCTGTGAGTATTCCCGCCCTGCTGACCTCACACTGACCTGCTGGTGCCGTTCGCTTTGTGGCTCCTGATTGGTTTGATTCTGTGAGAAATGATCCGGAAACATTTGAAACTGTAGAAAAATATTCCACAGTTCTGATTTTCTGTGGATCAAAACTCCAACTCATTGACTGAAAATCTGCCTGTTCATGGATTTCTAAAATATTCCGAGGAAAACCTCAGAGCCGGAGGCTGTCGGCTTGTCTGAACGCAGGAAGACTCTGGAGCTGCGTCTGAAATGATGAAGGCATTCACAGCAATCCAATGAGTGACGAGTGTGTTATTAAGACACACACACACACACACACACACAGCTCTCTCTTGTTTGTCTGAAGTGTTTGTGGTTTCTGACTCGGTTCCAATGAAGTGCAGATTATTGATAATGTGATAAATAACACTGATCAATAATCAGTTGGTTTCAGCTGCAGATTCACCGTCTGGCTGTAAATCTGAGGCGTTTCTCGTTTCAGTGACATAAAAGTCTGGTAACCGTTCAGACTGCAGACCCTTTGGAAACTATCAGACACGGTTTAGCTCATCGTGTGGAAGAGGAACAGATGGGATCATTTCTGTGGATCCTTTAAAAACCCAAAGACCTGGAAAACATTGCAGCTTCTAGAGTCTTGCTGTCTGGACACTTTGGCAGCTGTTAATAATAACAATCCACTGGTAGATCACTGTCCTCTCCAGACCAACAAGCTGCTCGTGGTTTTTCCTCCCACTCCAACAGTCCGACCAGTTTACAGACTGGTCCGACCAGTTTACAGACTGGTCCGACCAGTTTACAGACTGGTCCGACCAGTTTACAGACTGGTCCGACCAGTCTGTAAACTGGTCCGACCTTCTAAATGCTGAGTCGGGATCTCAGTGGGAATAAATGTGAGGGTTTCCTGATTAGTTCCTCACCATCAATAACCTCTGTTCTGTTCAGTTTTGTGGATATTTGGTTAGTTTACTGTCCAGTATGTTGTAAACATTCTGCGTTTGGCTCTAAACTCCTCACAGCCTTCAGTCCTGCAGCTGATTCAGACAGAAACTCTTCTTTGTGTTTCTGATTTTTATACGACATCCAGAAGTCGACCTTGTTCTTACTCCAAACATCTCATTTAGTCCAAGCAGCAGCATGAATAATTCATCGCCTCGGCGCAGAACGCAGACCGTTTGGTGAGAGCGAAATTCATTTCTCAACTTTAGGACCTCTCCTTCTGCCTGCCGTCCAGCCTGGTCGTGTCGTTCGTGCCGGAGGCGTTGAGGCAGCAGAGACAGTGAGGGATGATGGGGAAACCCAAAGACATAATTCACTCCAGCCTTAAGAGATGATGTTCTTATAATTATGTCTTTGTTCAGCAGATTAATGGACTAGAGAGCGTCAGACTAATCCTCTGTTTTCTTCTTTTCGTTGTTCTCTTGAACGTTTTTTCTCTTTGATTGTTTCTGATCCTCTCGCCTGCTTTGCCTCCTCCTGCCTGTAATATCTGCCATTTTATGTTTATCCACGAAGGAAGCTTGCTCTCAACAATCCTTCGTTTCCTGCTGTGCGTCGCGTCAGTAAGAAAAATCATTTTAAAAAATCATTTTTTAATCTTTTAGGTCTGGGATTCCCAAACTTTCCACCCCATGACCCAGACAGCTTTGGACCGCTGTGGCAAACCTTCACATTTTAATCAAACATATTGATGAAATCATCAGAAATGAGAAGCGGCTTTGCGTCCATCGCTGCTGTTAGCGGATGTAGCTGTGTGTCAGATTAACGGGCGTACCAGAAACACGCAAAGTTCCAGGAGAAACTTTTTCTAAAGGTGATTAAATAAAATCAAATCTGTGAAATTCATCAACTTTTACAACCCTTTTTATTCATGATTTGATAATTACTAAATGTGTTCGTCCTCATGGCTGCAGAAGTTCTTTGTTTCCTCCACATGCTGGACGGATCCTTCGCTCTTTTCCTCATCTGAAACGGTTCCAGCTCAAGCTGCTGCAGAGTAAGGAGCAAAGCAGCTCGATAAACTGGATGCAAATAAGATTTAATGACTTTAAGAACCCAGAAAATGTTCTGGTGTGAGCGTCTGGTGAGATCATGCTCCTCTTCGGCCCTTTGTTATCCGCGGTTGCCATGGTGAAGAACCAGGAAGCTCCGTAATTGGCCGACATGCCGGGTCGACTCTAGATCAGCTGTTCCAGATGTTTGTCGCTCTGCACATCAGCAGCATTCTGGAGAGAGTCAGTCAGAACCAGACCGGCGCTGCAGGAGCAGCCAGTCCGTTCAGTCAGAACCGGACCGGCGCTGCAGGAGCAGCCAGTCAGAACCGGACCGGCGCTGCAGGAGCAGCCGGTCCGTTCAGTCAGAACCGGACCGGCGCTGCAGGACCAGCAGCAGAACTGAGGTTACAGACCGTCAGGAATGTGAGTCTCCTCTGGGAATGTCATTGTTACTGCTGAGCAACAGTTCTTCCGATTTGGACACAGGAGATTTACACACACACACACACACACACACACACACACACACACACACACACACACACACACAGAAACGCGCGCAGCCAGCAGGCAGTGAGAGATGACTCCTGCTCCAGCTCATCTCGGCGCTGCCGGGGGACAGATGGAGGACTGATCAGTGCGGCGGAAAGTCAGATAGTCTGACAGAGTAAGAGAGCTTCTCTTTCAATTCCCTTATCTCGCCGCTGACCTCTGACCCTGCAGCAGAGAGATGAGGCAAAGAAAAATGGAGGGAGCTAGAGGGGAAGGATTGGTTAAAGAAACGACACAACAAAGGTGTGAAGATTGAAGCCTGGTTTTCTGTTTGCCTGCTGTAATGTCAGCGCAGCAGCAGAGCGAGACGAGACAAAAACGGCTTTTCTTTTTAATAAACCAGACAGAAAAATACCTGGAAATCAAAATGAACATTCACCAAAGAAACACGTTTTAAAAATACTAATGATGAACCGGGTTTCCACAATCATCTCATTGTGGGGCGTCATTTTAAAGAAACGTTAAAGTGACTAAACATTAATGCTGCTGCTCATTTTTTGTAAAAAGAGCCACAAATATTCAGCAATGAAGGAACGATTGATCGGATTAATCATGAATCAATTACTAAAGTAATCATCAACTAATTTATTAACCGATAAATTGTTTGCTTAAAACACATTTTCTGAAATAAAATCAATAATTGATCCAAAACATAATAAAAAATATCAACATTTTACATAAAAAACCATCTGTCTGTAAATCTGATTTATCATCTACAGTCACTTTATGGTTCATGTTCTGCAGAATAAATTTCCTATTAATCACGTTTTGCTACCAAGTCACTGATTGGTGGATCAATAATTAACCCCTGATCGTCTCCTCTCTCATGTAGGAGGATTTTTAGCTGCTGAGCTTCAAACCGTCAGAGTTCACTAAAGGAAAACATCCTCGGCTCCACAGACGGGTTTATGACTTACGTCACGATTTATGACGAGAAAAGTTTGTGTTTTAGGCTAAAATGTTTCAGGTCCTCAGAAAAATCTAAAATCCAACAAAGAAAACATAAAAATGATGATTTTATCGTGGCTCCATTTTAACCTGGCTCCAGGTGGAAAGTTATCACTCCGTTTCCAGTCGTGAGGTTTTGGAACATGGTTACTGAAGGATGAAGATCAGAACCTGCCTGGCAGCAGGAAGTAGGCCAGCAGATCTCAGGGAGCAGAAACAAAACCATTATCAGTCTGGATCCAGAACCATCCATCCATCCAGAACCGTCTCTGAAAACTTCCTGCTGATCCCAAAGACTTCTGGGAAATATCCTGAGGAGACGGACGTGAACCGATCGGCGGTTCAGGTCCCGTTCCAGAACCACCGATCAGTTATTGATCATCAGAACATCAGGAAAATGTTAAAGGGTGTAAATACTTTTTTAGCTGTTTCCACAAGTTCTAAAGAAACGATTCAGTTCATGTTAAAACATTTCACAGGTAGAAAACTGATGCAGACCACAGTGCCCCCTATCTGTGGACTGAAGTATTACTTATTATCCATCTTCAGCCAGTGATGCTGCTGATGTGGACAGCATGTTCCCAGTGTTCCCAGTTAGAGAGCCGGAGATAAACCAGTGTAAATGCAGCTGGTCTTCAGTCTGCTGCTCGTGAATTAATTCGGTTTAAACAGTTAAACAGCCTCAGTGTTTCTGTTTTCAGAGTAAAATGGATGAAAACATTCAACACAACAGACGACATCCAGTCTGGATGCCTTGACTTTTCCTCCATCCTGAGGTTTTCTGCTGTTTCCTGATCCGCTCTAATCCGCTCCCAGTCAGAGAGACGGGAACGTTTCAGGGCTTATTTACTGAAAATATGACTTCTTCACAGCGTTAGGAGGAGATGATGTGCAGTTACCATGGAAGTGCCTCTGAAGACGTGAAGAGATCCTCAGTGATGAAACTCAACCTGAAACTTCGCCGCCATTCACCTTCAGCTCACAGGATTAATTAACTCTGCCTTTTATTTATTACTGCCTCCTGGAAAATATTACTCTATTGCCCTCATTCAACATTTAACCCTCATGAACATTTTGCTTTTCTTGGGGTGAAATTCAAGGTTTGGAAATTCTTCCAGCTGTTCGTCTCCCTGCAGCTGATGGTTTTATTAACGTCATTAAATGCTGCAGCAGTTCAGAAATTCATGCAGAAATGTTTCCAGTCCTGTTGTGGAAAAGATTCATTTCCAAGCACTGATGGATGAAATCACTCAATCAGGTTTTTGTGTTCAAAATTCTGAAATCAAAGTAAAAATTTAAGTCAGTTATTATAAGAGTCAAAATACTAACAAATAATTCAGATTTTTGAGAATAAAGACAAAATTCTGATTGTCAATATTCTGAAATCAAAGTAAAAAATCTGACATTAAAGTGAAAATTATATTAAAGTCAAAATTCAAAGAAAAAAGTCTGAATTTTGAGAGTAAAGTTAAATATTTTTGAACAAAATGATAATATGCAGCTGCTGGGAGTTCAGTTCACTGCAGCAGAGCCACAAATACTGGACGTCATTTTCACTCTGATGTTCTGAATGTAATTTAGTTTTAATGCACTTTATTATTCTAACAGAACAAAACTATTTTTTAATCATGAAAGCTGCTGTTGCTTGGATCTTTAATGTGACAGGAATTAATTAAAGCAACACGTCTGGTTCTGACTGCAGCCGGCGACTGTTTCCAGCGTGTAGCGGCTCCATGCTGGCGCCTGGCGGTTCACACGGCGCCACCTGCTGCTGTCAGCAGCTTCCTGTCGCTCCCTGTTTATTCTGAGGGGCCAAGGTGCTAATGATGCAGGCGCTCACCCCCGTTAGCACAACGCCGAATAACAAATCTCAGGCGACAAGTCTAAAAATAATGCAACGCAGAGACAATTTAAAAGGTGAGAAAATGCAGCCAAAGAAAATTCACTTTGGAAAAATCAAAGTTCATCTGAACATTTTGAACTTTTCATGTTAAAAGTCTTTTTTCCATGATTGCATGTGAATGCATCACCATCTAAATCTATCTGGAACTCCTTCATTAAGGGATGAAGGAGTCGTAGCTCGATGCTTGGTTGCCATGGTTACGAAAACCTCAACATCAGGTCGATTTCTGCTTTAATAACTCAACCAAACAGATCAGTGGATAAAAACTGCTGCGATTTTCAGCCACCAGTAAAACGAGTCAAACTTTCCTGCATCAGTATTCATGAGGCGAAGCTGCATTTATGAATAACTCATTTACATATAATTTATACTTAAATGGGTTCAGCGCACCTGAGCCAGCAGAACCTTTCTGTCTGAAACTGAATCAGAAACTTTCACCGTTCTCCAGAATATTTGATTATTGATCTGATCTGATCAGCACCCCCTTCAGTTCAGATCAATACTGATCCGATCTCCTTTCAGGTCCATTGGTTCTGAAACATTCACTTATTTACAGAAAAATTAACAGTAAAAGTTAAAATTTTAAAAATGTTATTGATTTATCAAAAAAAAAAAATCTAAAACATCTTTAAGTCTCAGCTCCATTTTCACAAACCTGCAGTCGGTCCAGACGGCCGTTGGTCCCGGTCCTGGTTCTGGTTCTGGTCCCGGTCCTGGTTCTGGTCCCGGTCCTGGTTCTGATCCCGGTCCTGGTTCTGGTGCCGGTCCTGGTTCTGGTCCCGGTCCTGGTTCTGATCCCGGTCCTGGTTCTGATCCCGGTCCTGGTTCTGGTCCCGGTCCTGGTTCTGATCCCGGTCCTGGTTCTGGTGCCGGTCCTGGTTCTGATCAAGTCCTGGTTCTGGTCCCGGTCCTGGTTCTGGTCCTGGTTCTGCTGAAGGTTTCTTCCTGTACAGGGAGGTTTTCCTCTCCACCGTCTCAACATGCTGTTAGTCAATGACTCAAGTGATCGTCTGCTGTCGCCCCCTGCTGGTCAGGAGAGTGAACGACTCGACGCTCTACGGGGTTTCCTTAGAAACTTTACAAACTAATTTAATAATAAACTGAACTTAAAGCTCAGATTGCTATCTTGGACTAATTGTTGTGAAAATGAAGCCATAGAAATGAACTGAGTTGTAGAATCGGCTAATTAACATGTAAAATCAGTTCTGGTTCTGGTTCTGGTCCTTCACAGTGAGGCGGGTCAGTTCTGTTTCCCGTCATTAGAAATGAAAACATATCTGCGTTATGCACAAACCCGACTCTCTGCATTTCGCTCAGCTGAAAGCAGCAAACTGGGACTTTATGGTTCCGTAGGATGTCTGAACAGAACCGGCTGATGACCCGACCCACCATCATGTGGATCTCGTTCATCGCTACGCTGCGACCCGCTGATTGACTCATTAGATTCAGCTTCAGGCTCCTGATTGGTTTTCGCCTCGCAGCCGTGACACACCTGAGCTAATCAGCCTCGTTTCAGATTCCAGAGGTGCAGAAACGTTTCCTGTTCAGCCAGCGTCCTGATTTCCTGCCGCTTCACATTTCAGGCGTTATGCCGCCATTTTACCTGAAGAGAGCCGAGCTAAAGCCAGTGAGTGTTTAGTTTTTACCCACTGTGAAAAACCTGCTGTCAACTTAGCGACTTTGTTGCTACGTTTAGCACATTTTTCACAAAATAACAGCAACTAGCGACAAATCCAGCAACTTTTTTTTCCTGTTATTGGAGATTTTTATGCGATTTGTGACGCAGCAGTCACTGCAACAACTGGGCAACTTGCTGTTCCCAACTCGCCACCAGGGGGCGTCTGAGTGACATGGCTTTAAACTAACCAGTTGGAAAATTCAACTGCAGTAGCCACACCTCAGCCCATAGAGGGCAGTACTGAAACAGTTTTAGGCAAAATATTCTACAAATTTACGCAGAAATGTCAAAATTTGTAGAAATGTTGCTAAGTGGATCGTCTGCAGTGATGTCATCACTGTAGCGGTCTGTGGTGATGAAGAGGAGCTGCTCTCTATTTACTGATGATCTACGCTCTTCACTCTAACCCTTAAAGCTGCAGTATAACTTCTATCCTAAATACTTTTTTACATATTGGTTGAAACTCAACATGTGAGAAGATTGAGCTCCTGTTTTCTCTCAGTGCTAACTAGAAACAACCAATCAGAGCCAGGAGGCGGGGCTTAGCGCTGTCAATCACAGTCTTGTCTGTCGGGTTGATTCAGTCGGCAACAAGTTGATTCTGCTGCTTTAATGAGGAGAATCGTTCGTTGCCCATCTCAGAGGAAGTGATGAACTCTTCCTCCTCCTCTTCCTCCTCCTCGTTCCTGTGAATCCTGTCGAAGCTGAAGCTGCTCTGAATCGATTCTCGTTTTCATGTCAGGAGTTTCAGTTTCCATCCAGAGGAAGCGTTGCCTCTGTTCTCTCCAGCTCTTCCTGTGAGGTGCAGCGTTCCCGCTGGGGAAAAGCCGATACTTTGAGTTTCCTCAGAGAGCTGGGATGGGAACCTGAAGGAAAAACGGCTGTAAAACAAAAACAGGCGGCTCCTCCGTTCTGAGCCGTTTTGCTTCGACCGCCTCACAGTTTTTCCCGTCCGTTTGGTTTCAGTGTCTGCTGGAGTTCTGGCTCTCAGGACGGGGCTGTAAAACTATTATAGTTTATAAATGTGGAAATGAAACTGTTGGGTTTCTCAGTAGAACATGGATGAGATAAAGAAAAGTTTCTTCATGTAAATGTTAGATTTTAACATCAGACGCTGTTTGAAAGTGAAACCAGAGCTTATTTGATCCACCAGCGTTTTCCCTTCCACTTTTTAAAAAACTGATTTAAAATGTAATACCTGGAGATAAATTAATTTAAAATGTAATTTATTACCTGGAGACGACTGGGAACATTAAACACAAGGAACATTTATCAGCAACTTTACCTTTAAATTTACTCATTAGCATATTTCTCTGATAGCAGAGAAGAAATTTACATGAAGAACTTGGAAATCCTTTCAGTTTCATCCACACACACACACACACACACACACACACACACACACACACACACACACACATAAAAACACAAAAACACACACACTTATGCATCACATGAGTAAAAAACTTTAAATTATATAAAATCTGAACAAATAACCTTTTCAAACAAGTTTAATACTCCAAACTGAAATCGGCCCATTTTAATCATAAGTGCACTTGTGAAGCTTTTAGCAGAAACTGGCCTGTAAACCTGCTGCTTCGCTCTGAGAGCAGCTAAAGGTCATTAAGAGACGAGCGTGGAACGGCCGCTTCACTCCAACTGGGCTCATGAAGAGACCGAAGAGCAAACGGATTAGAAGAAGAGGTCAGTGTTGCCATCGCTGCGTCTCCAGCCAATCAGTAAAATCCCTTTTCATGAATTTACCTGCATTTTCTCCAACCTGCTGCAGGTTTCAGTGAGGTGGAGACAAACTGCTGCTGTTTTTGTTTGGTTTCGGTGGAATGGGGGTCATGTGGATTACCTCTGAGAAGTCAGTGTTTCACCTGAGTTTGGAGAAGCTGCTGCGTTTTAAAACTGGTTACCATGGAAACATAACGAGTGTTCAGCCCAGTTCACATGATTTTAATGTTTCCCAGTTATCTGCCTGGATCTGAAGATAATCAGAGATTTTCCTGCTGTGCGTTCAGAGTGATCGGGTCCAATCGGGTTATCAGGACCGGTTTTCAACATGTTGGATCATCTTGGCCATGTGTTTCAGTCAGTCATGTTTGTTTACTCTGAACTCATGTTTTATCTTGAGTCAGATTGTGATGCTCAACGCTGCTCCACCGCGTGTGTCTTGTAAGTTTTAAATGGATACACAAATGGTAAATGGACATAAAGCGCTTTTTCAGTCATTTTGACCACTCAAAGCGATTTACATAGAGTCAAATTCACCCATTCACACTCGCAAACGCTACGCAGATCAGTAGGCAGTTAGCAGGAGGAAGCTGGAATCGAACCTACAACCTTCCGATCAACTACTCTGCCCACACAGCCACAGTCACCCTGTGGCTCTGCGGGAAGTTCTGATGCCCACAAGCATTACATCAGAACTTCCAGACCGGGAAGTGAAGTTTCACTGAAGTTGTTTGCGTCGGCAGAATTGATTATTGATTTCTTTCTCACCTGTTCGGTCTGACAGGTGAATTTCTGATTCTCCAAACTGAGATCCGTCTGACTGCAGGTTAGATACTGACAGCTCTTAACTGCTCAACAGAACCTCATCAGTACCGGGGAAAGTCATGAACTGATCCAGTGAACTGGGCTCTTCTCCATGGTATTCACTCTTGTTCTTCTTGTTTTCTCCTCCTCCACCCGTCTCCTCCCACCCTGCCCTGACCCTTGACCCCTGACCCCTCTCCAGGCCTGTAAGTCCTACTGAAACCTCTCATTGTCCTTTTCGCACCACTGAGAAGCAACGACGAATCTCCCCACGCGCCCGGGATTAGGAGGAGAAGAAGAAATCTTCTCACCTCGACGAAATCCAACAAGCAAACCTAGAGCTTTCTCCCTGGGACAGCGCCGCCGCCTGTCAGCCATCTTTGTTTTTAAATCACTTCCTGTTTCCTGCTGGCCCTCTTCATTCTTCCTCTCCATCTTCACCTCTCTGATCTTGCGTTCCTATTCTTTCTTTTTTCTCTCCCTCTATCCATCATTGATTATTGATTTCTGTCCCAACCTGCCCCCCCCCGTTGCAGAGCTAGGAATGTAGCGGTGTTAGCAGTGTTAGCATCGCGCCACATCCTGAAGGAACATTAATACTGATATGGAGAGAAAAAAGCAGATTAAGTCCTAATGAAGCAGGAACCTCCCCTCCCCGTCGTCATGGCTACCTCTTTTCCCTGTACCCCCATGAAGACTGCCTGGCTGTGTTAGCGTCTCCCGCCCGTCCGTTGACCTGCGTGCCGCCGGCCCAGTGAACTCTGCAGCCCGTCTGGTCGGCGGGGAGCGGCGGTGTTAACGTGTTTCTTTATCTTCTCGTCAGAGTGTTTGATCGTTTGATCTTGTTTCCGTCTCAGAGGACTGAAGCGTCTTTCTTTGTCTGCGGTCTGTTGGTGGTTGTGGCTTTTTTAGGACGAGGTTGTAGCCATAAGCCTTCAAAATAAGAGACTCTGGAGTCGTTTCCTCAGTTTGCTTCTGTTCTTATCGCATTAGTTATCATGGAGTGGGAAACAGTAAATCTTTACAGTAATGGTGTAAACCTGAAAAAAAAGTACTATTATATAAATATTTTTATTTTTTACCATTGTATAAATATACAGTATTGATTAACTTATGTAGTTTGATTGCAAGTCTTTCACAGTAAGTCTGTTTTAAAAGAGGAAACCATCTTTTCTGTGAAATTAGAGGCTATTGTTGTGTTCACTATTTTACTGTAACATCTTTGGTTTCTGATTGTTTTCCTTTTTGAAGCGTGATTCATTTTGCACAATCAGGAGTGAAGTTTGTTGACTGCAGCTGTTTGGGTTCGGTTCGTTCTCCCGCCTCTCCTCCTCTCATTTCCAGTCAGAAGAAGAAAAACAAAGACTTTGGTGGATCGTTTTCCTTTTTGTCTTCGTTCATCGGAGAAACGTAGCGTGTGTGCGTTCGTCTGGAGACCAACTTAAACAAAAAAGGACATCTTGAATGAGTTCTGTCTGTCTTTTGCACTAATTTAATAAAGCCGTTACTGAAAGTTCCCATGATGCTTCAGGTCATGTTTATTCTGATGAGTCAATATAAGCTCCAAATCTTTGCTCTCCTGTATTTTGTGCATATCTTTGTTTCCTGGTTGCTCGGAAGCAGCAGGCGCGGCGCAGAGGCCGAGCGCTCCAGCTGCAGGTTTGTACTTTTCTGATTATTGAAAAAGATTTAATATAATAAACCATAAAGCTGATGAGTTACCAAAACAAACAGAATTAATCCTGCAAGACAAAATGTTAGATTCCACAAAAGATTTAAGAATCTATTGTTGTAATTCATTAAGAGATTTTGAAGAGAATCAAAGGAAATGCTGCAGTTAAATTCATCAGAGCAAAATGGCGCCATGCAGGTGGACAAGAAGGTAAGATTTTAACTTTTCGCCGAGTCGGAAAAAACCAGGAGATAAAACTGAAGGTCTCAGAAATTTACATACAAATAAAATCATTTTCCAGAAGCAAAAAGAAAGTTTTTATTTTTAAATACTGATGAATATTAATGATGGTTTAGCTCATTATCACTTTCCCTCATTCAGAAAAGGTTGCGTCTAAACTGAGACTAAAGGTGAACAGAGATTTTTACTCCGATTCAGAATCAAAATGTTCAGATCCAGGAAGTTTCTCGTCTCCGACTCTCAGCGGACTGATGATGGCGTTAGCATCGCCGCTAACCAGGCTTACAATCACTGACGGTTTTTATCTGATTCAGTTAATCGGCCTTTAGAACGGTTTGCTAGTTTTTATTAGTTACTGTTAGTTAAATATTGTTTAGGTTTTATTATTTATAATCGTAGTTTTAGCTTTTTCATACTTTGGATCATTTTCAGATGCAGAATTTGAAAAGTTCAGAATATAGTATTGTGATACTTTGTGTAATAAATCCTGAACAGAAAAAACATTTTTGAAAACTGTTCAGGTGTCGTTGAACCACCAGCTGCCTTCAGGCGTCTTTTCCTGTCGCCGTTTTTCCCTCCGGCGTTCGGAGCATCTGCTTGTGTTGAGCAAAAAAACAATTTGACATCAGTTCAAAAAGCTAATAAATAGATCAATAAACACAAAAACGAAGGACATCTCTAACTTCAGTATGTTTTCATTAGTTACTGTTATTTATGTCAGATTAAAATGAATGTGTGTAAAGCTGTGGTTAGTTCATGTTCAGATTAGATCCATGTGAACAAACGGAGCGACGCATCGCTGACCTCAGAATCAATGCAGTTTCATCTGCAGATCTTTTATCTGCAGGTTTATTTAATAACTGCAGGCTGAGCATCTGTAGCTACATCTGACTCATTATGTTCACTAGAAATCAGTTCACGTTGCACCAAAACTGAAAGGAAGGAGACCTGCAGGCGTTTCTGTCCCATTCATCCCCAACATGAAGGTTAATATTTCACTCAGTATTCTGAGATCTGTGCATATTTCAGGCCAGCAGTAATAAGATTTATGTCCGTTTCATGTAGCTGCAGTGAATCTGGGAGCAAATTATTCTCATCTGATCTGATTTCATCAAATGTTTACCTGCAGTTCTGATCCTTCACTCAATATTTATTCCTCCATTTCTCTGCCGCTCCATCCTGTCCGGGGTCACCGGGGTCACCGTGAAGAACAGCTGCAGGCCGACCGGACTGCAGCGCCGCTGATGGACGGCTTCCAGCTGCTGGGCTGCAGCAGTTAGAAAACCTTCTGATCAGCTGGAGTGTGACTGAATTAACTTTAAAGTTTTCTCATTAATATTTGATTTTGCTCTTTCTGGCTGGATGAACCTTGAGTCCAGATCTGACTCTGAGAATTAAAGATTAGGGTGATGGAAACTCGCCCCTCCAGCCTGAAAGAAAAATCTCTGAAATATCAGAAAAAACAAACAAAAAGGTTCAGGAGAAAAACCACAAATCCTCATAAAAAAAGTATATCCTTAAAATAAATCACCAACATGTTTAATTTCCTGTTTTAAGAAAATAAAACATGAAGGTTTAGAGCCAGAGGTTCGGTTGATTCATCCAGTTTATTGATACAAAAGACCAAAAGATAGTTTTGCTGATTTACATCTAATATTTTCATCTCTTTATTCTTTGTTGCCCCCAGAGATTTATGGTTAGGCTGTTTTACATAAATGCTAAAAGGAAAAGATTCATCAGCATGAAAATAGTTTCCACTGCAGCCGGTTGGAAGAAGTTAAGATAAGAAGAATAAAAACTGTTTTTGTTGCTCGGCGTATTTAATCTAATTATAAACTGAAGTAGAAAGCAGCTTCCTGAACCATGTGTACTTTAATACTTTACTTTGATTATGCCGTTCTGTGTTTGAAGATTTCATTTGGCTGTTTTTGTTTTGGTAGCTGCAGGTTTGCTGTTGGCTTCTGAATATTTTCTGCTCTAACATCAATAAAAGAACAATTTGTCACCATAAAAACACAGCAGATTTACAAACTTTGCTGTTTTAAATTCCTCTTACAGGATCAATTCCTGCGTTTTCAAACCAACCTGAGATGCTTTGTAATAAAACCGATTTCTGAAATCTGCATGTCAGTTCATGAACTTTAACCTGCTGATGGTTTTTTAATGTTGCCTTCAGTCAATAAACTCATGAAACAAAATAACCTGCAGACAGGCAGAACTTATGAGCTTTGTGTTTTACAGCTTAACCTCTGCAGGTTTTTACCACAGGATGTGAGAAATGTCAGCTGAATATGGAGGCTTGTTCTGTTGTTGATGCTGCAACGATGCTCCTCACCTTCACAGCGTTCAGCATTTGATTAAACCAATCACTGCTGGACCCGTTGTGTCTCCCTGAGCCTCCACGGCCCGGGCCCCTCGGCCCCCCTGGCCCCTCGGTCCCCCGACAGGAAGATTTACTCTGATGCATCTCATGGATGTTTGCCTGGTCACTGAAGGCATTAAAGGTAAATTTATGTGGTAATTTACAGACTATTGACTGTGAATGTTTTATTGTTTTGTTTTACATGTTTTATTGAATCTAGTTTTACAGTGCAGCAGAACGGCGCTGGCTTCTCGTTTCCTAAACATCCAAACAACCAAACTGAAAACTCACCTTCCTGCATTGAATTGATTCCTGTTGGGAATGTTGAACTGCATTTCCCAAAGCTTTACGGGAATATTAAACCATATTGGTCCAAAAGAAACAATAGTTCAAGCTGCATATGTAACTTTTATGAAAAAAAATAATTTTTACATATTTATAATATGTAAAAAACACAAATTTTTCTAATCACCAATTTGAACAGAGACAATTTTCCTGGATGGTGAGTTGTTTCTCCACCATTAGCACATTGGCTAACAGTGGAGAAATGTTAATCAAACTCAGGAGTTCATGAGGATGATTGACAGCACTAAGACCCGCCTCCTGGCTCTGATTGGTTGTTTCTAGCTCATTTGTTCAGACAGCAGCTCAGGGAGGAGATGGATCTGTTCACAGATTATCTGTCTCATGTTGAACTGTCATGATGTGGTGACAGTTTAAACAAATATGAAAAAATACATTTTTTATGTAAGTTAGATACTGCAGCTTTAAGGGCATTTAGTTTTATTTTTAAATCTCTGTCAGCCAGAATCTGCCCTGATCAGACGGTTTCTGGTCAGATATCCGTTTCTCTGAAACGTGTTTATTATTAGACAAATTTTACAAATTTGATCTGAGTTTAACTTCTTTTGTAAGAAAATACATTTTTACCAGAAAGTGGAACAAACCGGGTTCAAACAGAGCAGCTCAGTCACGACATTTCTGCCATGATGTGGAACATGGAGTGTTAGCACAGTTAGCCTGGCTAACTGTGCTAACGGCTAATGTATGATAAAGAGTCAGTTTATTATTTCATCTCCATGCGAATCAGAACTACAGTGAAGGAATTAGTCTGGTATTAGCAAAGCATTGCTCTCTGGCGTCTGAACCATTTGTGTCCAGGATGTGTGGGGTCTGCAGAGATGTTAGCTGCAGGTCCTCTGCTGCTAATGTGAGCTACTACTCAGAGCAGGAAAAATGGGAAAAGTTTCAAACATTGTTCTTGAATCTTTCTGTATTATTGTTCACAAATAAAAAGCTGAGATCAGAACCAGCAGGTCAAAACTTTTCCTGATTGATCCTGGATCAATCAGGATCAATGATCCACCTCTACAGGTGAACACTGAGATGATGATATGGTGCTGACGTCATTTCAGCTACAGAAAATGACAAAATATTGACTCTCACTGCCTGTAAAGCTGTATTTGGCTTCAGGCTCTGTGTTGTTTTATGTTCAGATCAAACTCTCTGAACCACGACTCAAAACGTCATTAATGTAAACGATGGATTCGGTTCATCTAGTCTAAATAAAACCTGTTCAAGTGGAATTGATTTTTGTAATTACCTTTAAATTGCTCGGTCCTCTGTGGGCCGGCTCGGCCACCGTTGTTTCTGGATGAACGACCCGGACCGGGTCAGGCTCTGGGTCGGTTCTGTCGGTGATTGGGTCGCCGCCTCCTGCTCTCTGCTCCGGTTCAATCAGCCTGCTGGCTTCACGGACCGCTGGGTCCGGGTCCCGCCGAGGACATGCAGCTGCAGTAATTTAGAAATGAGTCGCGGCGCCTCAATCAAATCTGGAAATTCAAAGGCAGCGGCTGAGGATGGCAGCCGGTCCGGTCCGGTCCGGTCCGGAGGATCAGCATAATGACACCTGCAGCTCCGGCTGCTTCCTGTTCTTACTGAAAACATTCAACTCATTTTTTTAATTAAATATTGATATGACCCTCAGCAGCCCAGTCATGACGTCATTTATTTTCTACATGTTTTATTGAGTCTAGTTTTAAGTAAAGTCAATTATTTGGTCCGAAACATTGCAGATTATTGGTCTGGCTCTATTAAATTACATTGGGTCACACTGTAGTAAATGAGTTGAATCAACCTTAAAATTTAAGTTGAACTAAGACATTTGCTTTAAATTTGCATAACAGAATTACATAATGCTGAAATAAAGCAAAGCAATCAGCTGGAAATCCTTTCCATGATTTTTTAATGTTAATCCAAAGTTATATTTTTGAGTGTAAAACCTGTAAAAAGTTCTGATCCGAAATGTCTCATTCTTTTAGTTATCACTAAAATACAGATTAAAATGACCAATCCACACGAACAGACCCAGAGATGATGAGTTAAAACACATCATCAGTGTTTTCAGGATAAATGTCAGTTTAATGATTTGTGAATATTATTTATTCAGCCATCAAGTCTTCAGGTTAATTTTTCTGTGACCAAAACTGACGAAGCTCCTGACTTCGCCAACGAGAGTAAAGCAGATAATAAATAGATATGAGTTTCCTTTAACTCCAGCTGAATCTGAATCAGAGACGTTGATGGTGTCCAGCTGCTTCTCTTTGCTTTTGTTCCAACTTTGTTTTAAAAACCTTCATCTTCTCTTCCAGTTTGATGCATTTTATTTTAGCGCACAGCCGAAGAATCCGGGAATTATCTCATTTTTTCTGTGTCTGCTAACCAAAGACAACATGACAATAACTCTGCATAATGCAGCTTAGCAAACCGCCTTCCTGACACAAAACCTCAACCGTCACAATCCGTCCCTTCATCTTCAGGCGGCAGCTGAAGGTTCGGCTTTAAAGCCTTCGGTTGATCGGACAGGAAAGTGGTGCTGGTTTAATAATCTCTGGCTGCTTAAGTAAAGCTGGAGTCTTATTTAACTTCATCACCTCTAATAATGGTGTTCACGTCTCCATGGCAACACACAACAACTGCAGGCGTTAAGATGGACAATTTTAAAAAGAGCAGCAGAGGAACTAAAATCAACTAAGTTGATAAATAGTCAATAAGTTAATTAAGGCATAAAACGTCGTTTCAGTCCAATTCATAACATTTAAATTACTTAGAAATGTAATTTGCATCAGTCAAAGTGTGTAGTTTTAACAAAAAGCATAAATTAAAGCATTTACACTGAATATTTTCTTTCTTCCAGGCTAATTATTCCTCTGGCTGAACTGAATTTGTTGGAGGTGAAATGATCAGCGGATCATCCAGCGAAACCAACCAGTAAGAAATCAAAGCAACTGGTGGGAAATATCCTGTTAGCAAAACCAGTAAGTTCAGAAACGTTTACCAGGCTGAAGGTGAGTTCATCGTTCACCTCTCTGTCTGAAGGCCCACAGACACACGCAGGACTTCCTGCTGCCATATGACAACTTTTATTAAAATCAGGTTTGGGGCAGGAAGCCTCCTCAGTCATCCGTCTGGATGATCCTTCCTCTGCTCCTCCTCCTCCCCTCGGTGATTTATGACTCAGCCGGCAGCGTTAACGCGGCGCAGGTATTAGTCCCAGCCCATCGATTGGCGCCGCTGCCTGACCCGAACCTCCTGCAGGGCTGCCGCTCCGGACCCGGGGGACAAACCGAGCCGGGCCGCGCTCCTTCATCATCCTCACTCATCCTGCCGCCGCCTCCAGCCCATCCTGTCCTCACTTCCTCTCTGCTGAACATTCACTAATTAACATCTAAACTCCAAAGTGAAGCTCCTGCTTCACTTTGCAAAGTCAGATTTTATAACAACTGAAGGTAACATAGTTACATGAGTGTTGTAAAATGTCTCTATGTGGCTGGAAAACACAAACACCGTTTTAATAGAGCAGGAAGCTGCAGTCAGATGAAACATGAAGTTCCAACCAGAAACGACTCTAATGCCTCATCCAGCATCCTGCACTCAACGCTGGAGAAGCAGCAAAGTCAGACACCAGTTGTGCTGCAGAGTTCAGAGGAACTAAACAGATTATGAAATGATCAGCTGCTGTATTCCTGTGATGAAAGGTCAGAGCGCTGCCACGTTAAGCTGCTGAAGGTCAGAGGTCAGAGGTTTTGGTTGTCCGTCCTGTCGAGACGTGCTGCACACGGTTTTCTGTTTAATGTTTCCACTGATTGTTATGCAGATGCATCGATATTAAACCACTTTAAAACGTTTTAAAGTTCATAAATCTATTAGCTTCATGTTTGATGAAAATCTGTCTGGAGGATAAAATCTTTAATTTTAGTAATATCTGGAAGAATCACTGTAGATTTAAAGGCTTTAAAATCTGCAGTGAATTTAACAGTTTGATGTTTTAAGGAAGAAATAATAAGAGTCAATGATTGATAGAATCAAGAATAAATTAAATTATTCACTCAGATTTTAATGTTTACTTTTTATTGAAAATGTGTTTTTCTGACAGTTTCCAAAAATAATTTAACAAATTCCTTTAATTTACTAACAAAATATTTAGTTCATAAGTGTTTGATGTGAGTTAAATATTTAGATCACAAAATAAAAACAGTTTGCTAATTAAATATTTCAAGCTAAGTATTTAAATACTGTGTACTGTAACTGCAGCAGTTCAGAGTCCTTCCTGTTTTAAAGGAAACCACAAGGCCTTGTTGCCATGGCGATGTCCAGGACAAACATGTCAGGGGACATCAGTCCGTCCATCGTCCTCCTAGAGGACACGTCTCAGGTCCTGCAGGACTTTAATCCTGGTTTCTGCAGATTATTTTCTTTCTCTACCTGCAATAAAACAGCAGCACAGCAACAATTATTGTTATAGAAAGACAGAAAGACACCAGCTGTTCTGTAAGTACACACATGTAGGTGTGTGTGTGTGTGTGTGTGTGTGTGTGTGTTTCTGTGTGTCCTGCAGGTTCTTGCTGTGTTTTCTCTAAAGTCCTGTGTTTTAAAGTCTCGTCCTCTTGTCTCCAGCTCTTCCTGCAGGACAAGAAGCTTTAGACAATAATTGGATGAGAACTCTGAGGTACAACAAGCTGCTTCGCTGCTGAAGGAGGTCAAACTCTCCTCCTCCACCTACACATCCGCCCAGCTGACGCTGCAACCTGAATGGAGGTAAATGTGATCAAATTAGAGCTGGACTAAAGTTTCTGCTGTTCTTTGCTTCACATTGTTGGACGAAAACTGAGCAAATTACAAACTAAATGTTTTAATAACTAGGCTAGCACGTTAGCTTTGGTTGGATTTACCCAGAATGCCCTGCGCTGTAGTCCACTTCCTGCTTTTGGAGCGGTCTCACATTCAAACTGAACCAGAGTTCACTTCAACCAAAACCAGTCTGAGGTTTGGAGGACCAGAGGTCAGAGGTCACCAGCCGAACAGGACTGAGCAGAGCTGGTGGGAATGAGTCCTGTATTAAACACAGACAGACCATTTTCACTTTCCTCTGGATTTATTAAAGAATATTGGAGTAAATGCATCTTAACATCACATTAAACTCAAATATAGAGACTCGAATACGTCTGCATTGCTTTGCATGCTGCACATTTTTGTATTAGGGGTTTGCAATAAATGAAAAAAGAATAGAATAATATCATTTAATCAACATAGATTTGTAGGATAAGTCTCACAGGTTTCCAAATAATATTTTACGAGCTTAAAACCAAACAAGATCTTAACAAAGTTGGATGTGGATATTTTGTGAATTACACGTCTGGGTCTGGCCTTCGTCAGGAAGCATCTGTGCTGATCATGCTGGGTAATAACCTCACCAATCTTCATCAATGACACGACAACAACCCACTGATCCTTCTTCGTTTTGCTGCACCAGTCTCCTCGCCCTGTGCCTGTTTTTTGTTTCTGTCGCTGCAGCTGGACTGTCGGGGCAACAGATGCTGCAGCATCTCCGTGATGCTGCCCTGGACTGGTTACTGCGGCCACAGGGAGGCTTAATTAAAACCATCTAGATGGAAAACATGGTGAGGAAATGTCATTTTGTTCAGCTTTGACACAACTGCAGGGTTAGAGGAGATTTCTGACCGCAGAGCTGCTGGTTTGGTTTGGGACTCGCCAACCTAATCAGGTTTGGGTAAGAAATGATCCCAATTAGCTCGGCGTGAGTCCAGCTGCTGCAGCAGCATGCGAGGCTGCAGGTCCTCACCGCGGCGCCGTCTGCTCGGTTTCCATGACTCACAGTGAACACAGATTAACACAAAGTCTCTTCTCTGCATGAGCATCTCTAACTTTTTCCTCGTGCTCGCAGCCTGGCTCCGCTGCAACAGAAAACGTCTCAAACAGCCATTAAAAATAATGAGATGGCCATTTTCACCGCCTGTTACTTGAAAACAATCCATATCACACAGGGGACCTCCTGCTGCGGACTGAGGGCCACAATTTCCCAGAGATTTACTGAACAACCTTTCGCCTCTCTGCCCTTGATGGGACCGTGAACATCCCAACACAGCTCTGCAGAACGACGCAGTTTTTACTCAGAGAAGCAAAAGACGCACGTCTAAGAAATGAAGCCGTACATGAAAATAAAAACTAGTCAGTCCTGCTCTCTGCTCACCTCCAGGCTCCTGGAAGACGCTGGTTCTTCATCATGGAAGTGGAGACATCTGGTTTGTTCTTCGCTCAGACAAGGGATTAGTGTGTGTGTGTGTGTGTGTGTGTGTGTGTGTGTGTGTGTGTGTGTGTGTGTTGGTGCGTTTTCCTGGTCGTCTTCTTTGTTTTGCTCAGCTTCCAATCAGAACCCAGATTTTCCCGTTGATCACCTGGCGACTCTCCAACGGTCTACTCAAAGTTTCGTCTCATGTCCCGATTGTTTCCTGCTACCAACAGAAAACTTCAGCATCATAATCAAACAATTCGCTGCGTGGTGACGGAGTACCAGGCTCATCATAGACCAAAGCTTTTCATGCCAGGTGTAACGTCAGAGGAGCTCAGGGTTTGTCATCTTTATTATTCAGGGTTTTTGTTTTTTTATGCTCGTCTAAATTATCATCTTTATTCTGATGATATTCAGATATACTTTTCTTTCAGAGCTCTGGAGTTTTATAAATGATCATGTTTACTAATGGCTGAAGTGAAATCAAGAAACGGTTAAACAGACATCAGAAAACACTTTTTAGTGATGGTGGTAAAACGTGAGAAGTTTGATGTCTTTGATCAGAGCTTTAAAAAGTTGGTTAGAAACCGTTTTCATCACTTTAGTAACATCTCAGGAGTTGGTGTCAGAAGCTGAGATGATTATTCATGTTTTTATCTTCCTCAGTCTTTTAATCGGCTTCAGACGGTGAAGCTGCAGAGAAAACAGTTTATTGTTTAATATCAAGGATTTAAAACTGAATATTTGTATAAATTTGACTTTTTTTGTTAGTAAAGAACATTTTGAATTGGCACCATATAAATACAGACATATTCTATATTTTAGCAAGAATTTGTTTATTTATAAAATGTGAATAAAATATGAACCTTGTGCAAAATGAAGAAGCTCGTATTGAAGTGTTTTTCTCTGCACAAGCTCATCAGCTTCATTTGTTCCCCACTGAGTACAGAAATGATTCAGGAGGATCTTCAGCTGAACCTCCAGCAGGTTCACTAACCGGGTGGAAGTGGATCCGCGCGGCGCCGCTGGGTCGGCTGATTGGACCCGGCCGACCGTCACCTGATGAGACAAAACTTGTGATTACCGCAGAAGGTGATGCTCTGATTGTCTGAGAAGAAATGAGTCTAGACCAATCAGACGCCTTCAGTGTAGAAATGGAAGAACGTTTCTATATCGCCTGATTTTAATCCTAGACGGTTTCAAAGCTTCAACTTGTTTTTGTGTTTTAATGAAGCCTGAAGGTAATTTAACAAAACTAAAGATCTGTGCTAAAAACAAAATCTCTTTGTCTCCAGCTGTGATTTAATAAACCAGGCTTCATGTCATAATTACCAAACACAGCACAACCTTCAAAAGCTGTTTGCATTTATGATTTGTGTTTTAATATGAAAGGTGTAAAACACTGATGGCTGTAAGCTGGGCTCCCAAGAACAAATATATTATTGTTTGGAAGAGCAATGAATTTAATGGTGAGAGCTCATGTCTGAAATGGGACATAATTCCTTTAGGCAGGAAATAGGAATAATAAGAGTTTATTAAAAAGAAATAATCAGTCTAAATAAAAACTGTTAAAATATTGTGTATTTTATCCATTAAAACATGGATAATCATCTACACATCATTGTTTTGTAGTTTGCATGTGAGCTGCAGCTCCACACCAGGAGTTTACATCAGGAGGTCTGGAGATCTGGAGGTCAGGAGGACTGTGTAGCACTATTTAAAGTGTAAAAGGACTGGATGGGAAAAATCAGAAGACTAGAATTCATCTGCTGGAGCTGTTGTCAGTAATCAATAAAACAATACAAAAGAACTGCTTTCAATACCATGTATTAGACAAAAATTAAAGTGAACAATGCAAGACAAACATACATAGGACCAAAAATAAAAAACAAACAAAAAAATATACACAGTACTGCGGCCGTCCTTCATTGATTTGTGTACAACTGGTCTTAATTTCCCCGCTGGTCAGTCCAAACCCTGACCGACACACATTCAGAAGTCCATGGTTGAATTATCCGGATATTTAAGTTGAAAATGTCCCAGCGCAAGTCCTTTCAGATGAAAAGATGAATAATGGAGTGTGTGCCTGAGTGGTGAGATGGAGGGGGAATTGATACAGACCAAACCAGGATGAAGTGATTCTTGGGGCTCTCCTGGCTCCAGCCAGTTTTCAGAAGCTCGCCATCTTTTACCCTAAAAAGGGATCACCTGGCCAATTTCAATAATAGTTGGGAGCATGGCAGCTTCAAGGCTCCAAACTCACTGGATTTTTTGGATCTGTAGCTCCTTTGTCTCCAGCTCTCCCCCTCACACCTGACTGGGGAAAGCTGGAGCAAGCCTAAATAATTACATCAGGTGTGTCAATTGGCTGCATGCATTGTGTGACTGACTGTCACTCTAACCAATGGGGCAGTAAGGCGGGACTAAGCAGTTTTTTCACCCTGGGTTACAACTGGAAGGCTGGAGGTCAGGAGGTCAGGAGGACTGGAAGGCTGGAGGTCAGGAGGTCAGGAGGACTGGAAGGCTGGAGGTCAGGAGGCCTGGAGGTCAGGAGGTCAGGAGGTCAGGAGGTCTGCTCTGTATCCGCTGTTCGGTTTGGCTGCTTTTCCCTCCGTCTTGGATCGTCTGCCCGGTGGTAGGCGAATCATCAGGAGCTGATAGATGTTTCATAATTCACCAATGCACAGAACAAGATTCACGCTTGTGTTTTTGATGCAACCCAAATATCTCTTGATTTTCAAGCTGCTTCTGGCCTGTGGGTGGCGCTGCAGTTGTGTGTGAATTTTGAGACTGCCCTGATGTTTCAGTCCTCAAATGATCAGCGACCAATCAGATCGCTTCCTTCTTTCAGCCAATCACGTTCCAATAGCGCTGCAGCCATGACAGTTTCAAATTCAATCCAAAGATATTTTATTAATCCAATGTTTCCCAACCCTGGTCCTCAAGGCTCACTGGTTTCAAGGTTTCCCTGCTTTAATGTGCCTGGTTCAGCTGACTGCAGTTCAGCAAACGCCTGTTAATCAGTCATCGATTGAAATCAGCTGGACTGCAGCAAGGAAATACCTAAAACATGCAGAGCAGTGAGCCTGGAGGACCAGGCTGGGAAACACTGTATTAATCCCAAAGGGAAATGAAATGTAGCTCATGATGGCTGTCGGCCGCAGCATTTTTATTTCTATTTTATTTGAAGGTTAAAGAAATAGCAAAAGGATAATTCCTTTTTTTATTTCTAGTTATTCATCCAGACATGAAGTCTGTAGATAATATTTAGCTGGTTATTTTTCTGCAATGTGGTCAACTTTAACTTGGCAATAAACACCTTGACTGTATAAAGCCTCATTTATAGGCTTTATACAGCCTATAAATGATAATTAACTTAGTCAGATATTGCTAAGTTAATTGTGTGGAACGAGATATAAAGACTCATCAAATGGTGGTTCATGGGAAATAAACACAAAACCTGCCGAGTCCTCAGACTGAACATTGTTTCTGGGACTAAATACAGATAAGAAGTCGGGACCAGTTTTATGTTTGCTCTTTTTCACACTGCAGCACTGTTTTTCATCCACTGGTGTATTAAAAGTTACATCAGTTATTTGTAGATAACTGTTCTCCAGAGTGCAAAAAGTGTAAGTTCAGAAGTCCTCCAGTTTATTCAAGCATTCAGGATCTTGGAGTAATTATTTGTCCGTTTAAAAGTCGTTACAGCCATCAGATGTTCATGCAGCCTGGTCTGACAACATGAAAGCAGTTTCCATCATATTTCCCCCGGGTTTCCATCAGAGACACCCGCTGCTCTGAACAACTGCATTTAGTCTGTGTTTCCTCGGAGAACAGAAAAGAAAAAATAAGAAGATAAGGAGGCGCTGGAAGAAGAAGGGTGAGTAAAGAGTCGACCGGCCAAAGCAAAGAGGAACAGGAGGCTAAATGAGCCCCACAGGGGCGGCGGAGACATCAGGAAGGATCGGCTGTAATGTCCTTGGTTAAAACGGCCGCTCTGCTCGCCCTACGCCGCTTCAACACGTGGAATTAACGCAATAATCTGCCCTCTGCAAACGTCCAGAACGACCAGGAGAGACGCTTCACTGAGCAGCAGCATCCGCACCATGTTTCAGTTTAATGGAGCATTTAAATGAGAGGCGGAGGGCCTGAGGCAGCAGCACACACACACACACACACACACACACACACACACAGGGACACACACACACACACACACAGGGACACACACACACACACACACACAGCTGTCTCTGTGTGTGCAGGGGGCATTCCTGCTGATGCTTCTTCACTTTTTAAATTAAACTTTAACATTTCCAATGTTAATCTGAGGACGGTTTATCAATCAGGTTTATTAACACATTTCATCAACCATGCAGCTCAAAGTGTTTAACATCAAAAAACAGTCACCAGTTTGAGAACAAACATTTTATTGAGTAAAAATAATAATGTGATCAGTTTTCCATTAATTATGGTCCAAAGGAAAACCTTTAAATCTAGAAGCTGAAAGCTGCTTCCATGTTTGGTTTGAATCCCATCAGAGGAAAAATCTGCTGGATGCAAATCATAAACATGCTCAGACTGTATGAATATTAAAATATCACATTCTGTTACAGCAAGTTTCATTTAACCGAACCTGTGAGCAGCTGTTTCCTGTCCGGTCAGACTTTTATAGTCAGCAGGACCTTAAATCAGAAAACCTTTGGATAATGGGCAGCCTGGAACCAGCCTGGAACCAGCCTGGAACCAGCCTGGAACCAGCCTGGAACCAGCCTGGAACCAGCCTGGAACCAGTCTGAGACCAGTCTGAGACCAGTCTGGGACCAGTCTGGGACCAGCCTGGGACCAGCCTGGAACCAGCCTGGGACCAGCCTGGAACCAGCATGGAACCAGCCTGGAACCAGCCTGGAACCAGCATGGAACCAGCCTGGGACCAGCATGGAACCAGTCTGAGACCAGCCTGGGACCAGTCAGGGACCAGCCTGGGACCAGTCTGGGACCAGCCTGGGACCAGTCTGGGACCAGCCTGGGACCAGCCTGGGACCAGTCTGGGACCAGCCTGGGACCAGCCTGGGACCAGCCTGGGACCAGTCTGCCAGAGTAATTCTATTTTAAAAATTAAAGCGTTTGTTTAAAGAGCCATTTTGAAACACAGTGATTTCAGTCTGACTCCAAACTGAAAAACTGCTGAAACACTGACCTCCTTTAAATCTGATTTTGTGTGTGTTGATGATTTTACTCATCAAAAGTTTGAAACTGGTTTTCTGTCTTTTATTTTATTTTTAGTGTTTTTATGGCATAAAGCACTTTGACCTGCCTTGTTGCTGAAATGTGTTACAAACATAAACCTGACTTAGTTTTTCTAAAGTTTGATGTAAAATAAAAATGTTTATTTTCATTCTGTTTCATTTATCTGCTTATCATCTCTTCTCTTCGTTGTTGGTCATTCATGCTTCAATCACCTTGTCCTCTGACCTTCCAGACTTCCTGCCATGGCCAGGTTCACTTCCTGTCAGCATGGAGGCGTTTCTGTAAGGCGCCCAGGCTCAGACTGACGCAGACGCTGCAGAGAAACAGAAGGGATTCAGAAGTTGGATGGTTGTGTGACCACTGTGCTTCTTGCTGTCGACAAACAGATTTAAAGCGACGAGGACTGAAAGGTGCAGATGTTGCAGAAACAGCTGGAGCGTTGGATCCGTCATCAGAGCGCCAGCAGGCAGCCGCCACAGATTAAAATCATTTTATAAACTGCTGAGGTCACCACGTAATATTTCCTGTCTTATGAGACCAGTAGCACCAGTATTACCAGTTAGAAGTTGTGCCTGAACTTTTGCAGCAGGGTGGTTTGTGTAAATGATTAGGGAGATGATTTAGGAAGCTCCAGTCTAGAGTTTGAAAGCTCTTCAATTAGAGCGTCAGTGTGGAGCATTTACAGCAGAACGAGCCGGTTGGTAATGAAGCTCTCAGCTGAAGCCATTATCAATCCAGATCTTCATCCGTCACCACAGCCAATTATTCCTGCTATCGACGGTCCTCAGACGTCTCCGTCCCGAAACGGCTCCATTTAACCCAAACATGGATTAATCATGTTGTTATTTGTTGGCCAATTTGCATGTAATTATTTAATAGCCAGCGTTTGTTTAAAGAGCCATTTTGAAACACAAAATGATTTCAGTCTGACGGTTAATGACTCATCACGTTTCCTCTAATAACAGCTTCCACTCACTTTATGGAAGCAGTTTGGAGATTATTTCTCATACTAACATCCAAACTGTTTGTCTGCAGACTCAAAACATTTTCTTCAATATCTTGTTGTGGTTTTTAACTTGCCTTGTTATTAAATCTGGTATATTTACATCTTTACCTGATGTTGATTAATGTTTGTGTCCGTTTCGAATCTTTGCAGCAGTAAAAGTCCAGTCGTCTTGATTTAACCAGATGAACATCCTGACAACCTGCAGCAGGTTTTCTGCTTCGTGTTTTTGCCTGCAGCAGACTAAAGCCAAACATCAGAGCAGCATCAGCATTTAAAGTCTCCTAATTTAGGTCTTTATTTAATCCTCGTGACTAAATATTTCAGCTTCCAGCAGCTGTAATACAGGATTATCTTGTTTCTCTAACAGTTCTGTTCTGAGAGATCTTCTTGTTTTCTGATACTGTATGAAACTCAGGATGTCAGACAATCTGACCTGAAACTAAAGCCGCTAAAGTCTCCGATTTAAACGCTTCCTCTGCGATTTGGCCACAAACTCAGCCTGTTTGATATTTAATCATATTTCTGTTGTTGTTGTCAGCATCTAACTTTATTCTTTGATGGAATGATTTTCTGGTCCAAATGCAACAGATCCCACAGCATGACGCTGAAATAATGAGCAAAGTCCTCCAAGAAATGGATTCACTGAGCGAAAAAATGACTGGGCGATAAATCACATCATAGATGGATGGATATTAAAGACTTGTCTTTTAAATGAGAGGAAAGTTAGGACACCCTGTGTTCTAAACGAAGATGTTTAGTTAACTTCACATTTGGTCTCCCCATCCACACAGCATGACACTTCCACCTCTGTGCTTTGCTGCTATCCAGAGAAAACTGGCCATGTTCATCCTGCAGTTTTCGGTTCAAACACATGGCATCTGCATCATTCATGATGCAGATTTGCATCATTCTGGAACAAAACGGAAAGCTGCAGGATAGTAGCTTTTACTTTACTGTTTATTTACACACATTCATATTCAAGAAATATGAATATATATTCAAATGAGGCTCGTTTGTCAGATTAAATCAGAGTTTAGAAAATAAACTTTCAGCCGTTATTAAAAGTATTTTCCACTAAGCCTTTTATTTACCATCTGTAAGTAAAAATCTTAAATTTTCTATATATTTACTATTTTATGTGTGTGTGTGTGTGTGTGTGTGTGTGTGTGTGTGTGTGTGTGTGTGTGTGTGTGTGTGTGTGTGTGAGAATCGGGTCGGTTCTGTTCTGCCATGATTGCATCGACTCTTGTGATCAGATAGATTTTATGAAACAGAAGCTGAATCACAGAAACGATCTGATGCCGTCAGCATGTTTCTCTGCAGCTCCTCCTGCTTCACAGACATTCAGATTAACGTAAGAAGGAACAAGATAAACATGAAGGTGATTTTATATTTCTGAATAAAAACACTGAGAATGAAACGTTTCTGAGTTTTACTCTGGAAGATTTTGTGATCCGTTTACAGCAGCAGAAAAGATGAATGGAAAAACTGCAAACAAAAATAAATCTGACCAACAATGAAGGAAGATTCAGTTATTCAGTTACTCCCGCGCCTCTAGTGGCGTGGGGTGGTAACACAATTAACATAAGCACGTCACTAAACGAGAATACCACAGTGTTTATTCACTATTAATTCCAGCATCACTGGCACCGTAAAAGATAAATTCTCTAATATTTATTTTATTTTCTTAACGATGTAGAGCTAAGAGCTTATGGTATTCTGATTTAGTAATGTAATTTTATTAGTTGTGTTACCAACCCCTCGCCGCTAGAGGCAGTAGCAGGTCGGAAAATTTGCTATTAAAAAGCAGATTTAGAAATACACAGAAAGGTTCAGAATTTAAGAACTGTGAGCTGCGCTGAAGTAAATAAAAGAAAGAAGTTTAAATATATGCTGAGAGTGAAACTCCTCCCTAAACATGAAGATAATAAAAGTTTTCTAAAGAAAACAAAACCGGGAGACCGCGGATAATATAGGAAACAGCGCCCCCTTCACTTCCGGAATGCAATGGTCTCATTTCCAAATAAGGTATGAGACCTGTCTCTTCCTGTTTGCTGCAGCGAGGTCCTTCCGGGGAAAGACAGTTTGCTTCGGCGTGAGAGGAGCTAGCAGGGGATGAGCAGCTAGCTGGTTTTAAGTGAGTAAGCTCAGACTAGTCAGGAGAAGTCCTAGTAAACTCTAACAAGCGAATTAGCAGGACACGGCAGAGTTTCGGCGCTTGTTTTCTGTCGCTTATGGTGAGAGTTATGGTGCAGCTAGCCTAGTTCGCTAATAAGGACTACTGTAAGCTGTCAAAGTGGGACTGAAGAAGCTGCAGAAGATCGTTACCGGACTGGATAACGACAGACGGACTTCAGATGGTCCCTCTGAGGGCCGCGTCGCTCAGAGAACCTCTGGCTCCGTGGGAAACGAGGCCCTGGGCTGTGGACGTGGCTGTGGACGTGGAGACCACACAGCTGCACCATTCCTGAGCTTCTGCTTCCTTCCGATCGCAGAGAGGTCTTTCTGGACCGCAGGATGAAGTCCTGCCCCGATTAATCTGTGGGAAATCACGATTACTCAAGGTACTGAGTTTTACTTTAACATTTCGCTCTCTCAGTGAAGAGGCTCTGCACTGTTGAGTCGGTTGGACTCCGACATTCACAGCATCTGCACAGGCCTGCAGGCAGGCTGTATTTTTGCCGCCTTTAGGTTTAGTCTTTTTCTTTCCTTTTAGCCATAGTGGCTTGTATAACTGGCGGTTTACACTGTATGCAGATTTATTGTACAGTTGGTAAAGTGCTGTTTTTTGTTTGGCTGAAAACCAAAACCTCATTATTAATGACTCCTCATTTGCAGTTTTCTGCATCGACTCTTCCTCTGTTTCACACATTCAACATAAACTGAAATATGGAAATCCCCCCAGGGAACATCATCAGTTAAACCGCTTCAGTTTTTCAGTAAACTCTTTTTTAAAGTTTTCTCAGGAGAAGCAAACAGTGCAGAATGCTGGTTCTGGTTATTAATACACAGTGGAGCGGTTCAGTTTGGATTATTAACAACGCAGATTTAAATCCGCCAATTTTCTCAGAGTACATCTAAAGTATTTAAAGAAAATGCAGCTTGTGAATCTGTGACCCTGGGAGTGACGCTTCCTGTGGGTATTTCAGCTCCTGCAGTCGCGCTAAAACGATATACACAGTGTTTATTAATGCATATTAAAGCATATTTGGTGTTTGAAATATTAAAACGGTTATACTGTAAGCTTTTTTAGACGTGGTCTCAAGTATTCATAAACCCTGACATCAAATTTATCACATTTAATTCCTCACTGGGACAGAAACGTCTGCAGCAGTGAGCTGTTCACGACTTCCTGCCTCTTCAGCTCCTCCTCTCATCAGGATTCATTTCTGAATTACATCCTCTGCTCCTTTTCATTCTGGTTCGTGTTCTTTCAGCTTCCTTATGGTTTTCTTTCGGCTCCATGGGAAACCAAACTGAGCTCCCGAGTTGCTGGAGGAAGCGATGCTCTCTCTTCCCCCGATCAGCCCCAGATCGCAGCCACATGCTGAATCCTCTGAGGGCTGGACAGATCTGCACTTTTGAATTGTTTTGCTGTAATTAGGATTTCCTAATATCTGAAACTGATCAGTTTGTCTAAACGACTCAGAGCTGCAGCAGCTTTTTACAGACTTCAGCTGTAAATTCATCCTGAGCACAGAGACACTTTGATGGGATTCTTGGAAATGTTTCCAAAGAAAATGACCTCCAAGCAGTTTAGGTCATGAAGCTGTGACAGTAAAAACATTGAGGCGACTGCGAACGGAGGCCTGTTGTAAGATTACACAACTTAACAGCAATAATTAGTTATTTAGTCGTAAGATAAAACACTGGGTTCATTTTTCAGTCAAATTTTCACCATATTATTCATTCATTTAAAAATGTCACAGATTCAAATTAATATTTAATCAATATTAAATATTTAGTTCACAACCTAAAAATTTAGCACCAATTTTTTCTACAGAGCTCCAGACTAAATTTTTAGTTAAGAAGCAAAATATTTAGCTCTTAGCTAGCTAAGTATTTACTTTGGAGCTAAATATTTATACAGATATAAATATTATGATTAGAAGAAACAATTTAAAGAGGTTAAAGAATATTCTGCAAAAGTTAAGAGGGAAAATGTTCATCAGGACGTTGAAGGAGGCAAACGGAAACCTGCTCTTCCCTGGATGTGATGAAGAGGAACGGAGAGACGCAGAGCGTTGCTGCCTCCTCGCAGCGAGATGAACCCGGCTGCTGGGAGGGAGCCACAGAGCGATCCGATCAGTGTGCAGGCAGCTTAACCGCGATCCGAAGTTAGAGGACAGGTGAAGTTCATCGGAGCAGAGGTCAGCCGACGGGATCAGTGACGGCGTCAGCAGAAGAGAGGAAACGTTTACGTTAAAGGGATGAAAATCTTCAACTTTGGACCGACTTCTGGACCTGAACTGATCCGATAAAACCACGAGCATCAACCAGACGCAGCTAACCCGATATTAACCCAAACATCTGAGCCACATCATGTTTCTGTCTTCTTTACGTTTTGGCTCTAAAGCTCAGTGGAGATCCGCCGACCAGGAGGATCCACCTGGTAAAGAGATGAGCGCTGCAGGTTTTATCCAGAGGAAGATTCAGATCCAGAACCCGAACAGAACCTCTGGCTGATCTCCGCCGTGCCGCGTCTTTCTGTCTCTACAAGGACCAAATCATTCAGAGCCTCACAGAAAACAGCAGGATTACAATAACTTTTATTTAACAACAAAATTATTAAAACACTTTTGTTTTTTTAAACATGATTCTGTTTGACAGAAGCAAAATATCCTGGAATAAATTCAGCATAGAAGCTTTTAGTCTTGTGATGTTTTCCCTTCAGGGACCGTTGATGTTCCTCCAGGTTTCATTTATCAGGCCGTCCTGAACACACGCCGTCTGACACGGTGACTGACAGATGGACGAGTCGTCTCATCTTCGTTTTGATGAAAACTGATGGAAGGACGCCGCAGCTTCAGCTGACATCATTTCCTTTGTGATCATGAAACTTTTCCGCCATGCAGTCAACAGTTAGCTTCACCAGAACGGAAACATCAACAAATCGCATAACTTCCTTAAATATGTGTTTCTATTAATCATACAAACATGCAAACTGCTTTGAAGCTGCACACTGTCCCGGTTTGATCAATACAGGAAGTGAAGCGTGACAGACACGATGAGTTAAAGTCCGTCTCCCTGAACTGGGATAACAACTGACGTTCCTGATGAGAAACGATACGTCGGTGACCGGAGCCGGTGGCTGGGCCGCATGGACCATTTACTTTCCATCATGTTTTGTTTCAGTAGCCAGAGGACTGAGTGTGAAACTCATCAGCAGCAACGCTCCGATAAATCACAACAAACTCCTGCTGGCTGGAGTTGGTTTGCACCTTTCAAAGCAAATAGCTGTGGGTAAAAACAGGATTTAGGGATTACCTTGGATAAATGCGACATCGCTCACAAAGTCAGGCACTGTGGGAAAAGACGCAGAGAGACGCTCTGATGAGGCGTCTGCTTTAATCACACAAGATCAGGTGACACTTTTTATTTAGTTAGCATTTAAATGGTTATAACCTGTCAGGAGGAGTTAATGGGAGACATGTAGGAGGATCTATGAGGCGGGGTTATGTGGAGAGTTTGAAGCAGAAAGTATTTTACATGCAGTAAACGGCAGCGTCTGTTTAACGCCTTATGTTGTAATGAGTAAAAAGTTTTAACTTTTGAGTCTCATTCTTGTTTCTAAAACATGAAACTGAAGAACCGGGAAACAAATCTGACCTGAGAACCTTTTATACAAATACACGTCCTGAAGAATCTCCGATTAAAAATACATTTTGAAAAAAACATTTTAGCATTTCTCTTTTTCAAATGTTTTTCTTTGGTCTGATGTAATATTGGAGTTCATGGAAAACAGGAGAATGGAAATGTTTGGTTCACTGAACCTGGAGAGAGTCTGAGTGAAACTCTGCTGCCCTCCGAAGGCTGAATGATGCAAAGTGGAACGAGCTGCAGGAGTGTGTGTGTGTGTGTGTGTGTGTGTGTGTGTGTCCTGATTGCTCACAGAAGCATGAAGCCCTTTGAAGACGGTCCAGAGGATTGGTTGGGCTGCCAGAGGTTGGAGGAGGAGAATGGAGATGATTGGAGATGAGAAGCATGAAGGAGGCCGGGGACGGCGAGCGGGATGAATGGATTAACGCACCTGAATGAATCCCACACACACTCACATACACACACGTCAGCAGATTGCAGGAGGAGCCCGTATCGGCTGAACCCTCTTCCCTGACTGCGGCGGCGAACGGACCACACAGTGACATTTGGAACATGCGCTGCAGCAGCCGGAGCCTCTGCATGCAGCAGGCATCGATTTCCTTCAAATGTCAGGAATGTGAGCAGCAATAAGGCGGCTGAACGTTTCCACGGGGCACTAACAGAGTGGATGGTCCACAAAGAGAAAATTCACCAACTTCTGAGAGGTGAAAGGTCAGCGACCTGTTCCTCTGTCATCTGCTGGGCCAGCAGCTCCAGAACCAGAGAAACTCAGCAAGCTGATGAAGAGATGACGAACCCTGAGCATCGTCTTCATCACACTGACACTACATTCACACTGCAACAAAATGTAACTCCCATCCAATTCATTTCATGGCTAAACAGCCCAATTCTGACCTTTTGACCCCAAAAAAAAATCTGATCTGTGGAACTAAAATGGATCTGATGGTTTAGAAAGCCTGCAGTCGACCAGCCATGCTGCGATTTATTCAACATAAGCCACATTCTCGCTAAAGCTCGGCTATTCCAGTGGCTCTCTGAAACCCGATTGGTTTTCTGCATGTTTGTTCATGGCACTAATTAAAAGCGATCGGAGTCAGACTCCTGTATGAACGGTTTCCGACCCCAAAGCCAACATAGCCGTCCACCAGCAGCGCCGTGTTTACGGCAGTAAAGATGGCCGCCGCAGTAAAGATGGCCGCTGCAGCGCTCTGTTTACGGCAGTAAAGATGGCCGCCATCTCTGGATGGATTGTAAAGTTGCTGAGAGCGACGGCATGGTCAGCAGACGGTCAGCAGACAGTCAGCAGGAAGCTGATGACGCTAACAGCAGCCTTTAGTGGAGCTGCAGCCTCTGGCCCGGTTCTGACCCGGTTCTGTTTGGATGTGGAGTCGGACCAGGAGTGGTCGGTTGGGATGTGATTCGTTTCATCACTTCATGATCATCATTTTCAGCCATAGTCTAGATTTACCGTCTGGATTCTTCTGCTGCTGAGTTCTAACATTCAGACGCTTTGGAAACTATCGGATATCATTTAGTTCCAGAATCTTTATAAATATCTGCAGCGTTGCACTGAGGTGATGGCGCTCATGTGAAATAAGTGTCACTTTAATCCCATGTTTTACAAACAGCCATGCTTGTTTGGTTGCTCCTTCTGAACCAGTTCTTTCTTGCAAATGTCCTCATTTCGTGTCTCTGCAGATGGAGACGTGCAGCTGAAATCTGCAGCTAATCAGAATTAATTTCAGTGTGAAAGCGCCACAGCCTCCTCTCTGCTATTCTGGTCACTTTTGATCTGGAAAGAATGGATTAGCTTCATTCCTAAGGCAATTTCCTCACGATGAAATGCGCCATCAGCATGCACACACGCACGCAGCATCGCCGCAAATTAAAAGGACTGTCAGCGCTACCGGATTATTTTAGCTGAGGCACAAATTTCCTCAAAAGAGAGAATATCCAGTCGATTGTAACGAGGTCTTCTTCCTGGTTCTGGGATCATTCGGCGTTCAGTTGGTAAAATATCCATCAGATAAACTGATCAGCAGGACCAAAAACCTGACAAAATGGAAATTAATCAGTTAAAAATCAAGACTGAACACAAAGAAAAAAACAATAAAGGTTTGAATACATCGTCTGATGGTTGGTAATGAATATTTAATGATGTCACGTTTAAATTAAAATCTCTGAAGAACCCCATGTAAGCACTTTCCCTGTTTATTTCACTTTAAAGCCATTAAAGATTTTAGGTTTTGGTCAGATTAAGCATAAAACATTTACATAACCAACAGCCCAAACGTCAGATTTTAAATAAACACTGAGATTTCAGAGGAAAAGAGAACTCACCAATATTTTTAGTCTTTGATTAAATTATCATCTGAATTATCCATGTTTTTAACATGTGAAGTATGACTGACACAGAGGTTGGAAACAATGTAAAAGAAGGAAAACAATGATTTTATATATATATATATATATATATATATATATATATAAAATGTGAGTTTAATTGTCCCTCTCATCCTTGGCCCCTTTCACGCTGAAGTCTAGCTCCGCCTCTGGTTTCCCTTCTGATGCTGCTGCCTCCAAAGGAAGGGATGTGTATGTAAACTTCTGAGCTGGTCCTCCAGTCCAAAGATGCTCACTGATGTGATTTTAACTCTACTTAATATTTCCAATCAATAACTAAATCCTAAAACTGTTGAATTATGAAGTCACAGTTTGATGAACATAGATATTATTGGCTGCTTCTAATATTAGCATCAGCTCTCTATTACGTTTTATTTTGGCCAGAGCGAGTCAAAACGAGCAGCACTCGGGTGACATGCTGGAGTTGTTTCCATGGCAACAAGTGGCGGTGTCCGTTCAGCTCCAGCCGGTGCTGAACGTTCCTCCGTCTCCACAGAAACCCGTTTTCTTCCTGTCCCACGTCTCCAGAGATGTTACAGCCGCCTCAGAAGGGCAAACGTTAAACAACTGTCCTCTTCATGCCTCGTTATCCACCCACCCACACACACACACACACACACCCTCTCCATCAATCTGACCATTTAGTTTAACTTTATTTCTCACTCCATTAGTTTCTGGGACACGGAGCAGCGCAGAGCTAAGAAAGGAGATGTGTTTGAAAAAATAAAAAGAAAGTTTGACTCCTCTGAGATAAAATGTAATTTCACAGTCAACTTGCTGTGATGTATTATTCCACAACAACGGGGCGGCTGAGAGGAGACCTGCTTGGCACCGAGTCCTTAGGACATCAATGATCTCTGGAGAATGATTATGACTGAGTGTGGAGGGGAAAATCATTACAGAAGAAAAATGCAACACATTAGGTCAGCACGATAGTTTAACAAACAGAAAAATATGTTTATTTTTTTAGTTTATGAAAATATTTCCAGTGGGCGACTTCATGCTTCTTTAATGAGCTTTAAAGGCGAGAAGAAGAAGAGCAACTGCAGGTGAAGCTGAAGAAAGAAAAAGATCTATTTATCTTTGTTTTGTTCTGTTTACGGTGCAGCAGCTCATCCTGATGAAAGAATAAACATCATTTATTCCAGAACCCCCCATTACATGCTATTACCTACCAACATGCTTTGGCATTGATGGATGCCTTCTGCTTCATTAGCTGCAGTCTGCTCTGGGAATCACTTACACAATATCAAACGGCTTTGGCTAGAAATCTAATGAGGCGCGCAGCAGATGGGCCGAGTTACATCATGGAGGAAACGGCCCACTTTCTGTTCCTGACGTCAGGAGTCCATCGCCGGGGCCCGGGGGGCCCGGGGGGCCCGGGGCCCTCAAACACTGACAAAACACATCAGTCTGTTTCAAACAAAAACTAAACTGTTAAAGTTTAACTACCACGGCCACTGTACACAGGAAAAAAGAGCAGCTCATTTCTGACAAAGAATCTTAAGAGTTTTAAAAAAATTAAATTGGAAAAACTCAGAAATTTTCTAGAGAAAATGTTAAAATTTCTAAGTTTCAAAAGTTTACATTTTTAAAGTTTAGTAACTCATAAATTTCCATGTCTTTTTCTCTGAAATTTCCAAGATTAATCTAAAAATTTCTGATTTTTTTAATAGAAATGTTTGATCTCAGTTTTTTGGTGGAAGCTTGCTCCTCTTTCTGCGTCTGCAGTGCCTGATACTCTGCTGAATGCGACGCAGTCACAGCTTGCTGTTCTTCTGGAACTGCGACACGAGGCCCAGAACCTGCTGCGAAGCCGCCACCGCCTTATTCTGAAGGTACAGGACGCTGTTGTTGGTCGTCTCGTTCAGGAAGTAGCGGTAGTTCACCATGATGCCGCAGGAGTTCGCCACGCCCCTGGGGCTGGTGTCGGCGCGCCAGTTGATCCGCCACATGGTGGCGCCGTTCTGCAGGTGGAAGTTGGCCACTGGGTTGAGGGCGAAGCCTCGGCGCTTCTCTCCGTAGAGGTACCAGCCGCAGAGGCGCATCAGGACGGGCTCCAGGGCGAGGCTCAGCTTCTCGGAGCGCGTCCACTCCCCGGTGGCGATGAGCTTCCGCAGAGAGTCGACGGGCGGGGTTCCCGCGTCGGAGCCCAGGGCCTGCTCCACCTCGCGCCACTCCTGCTCCGATAAGAGGTCGGCCCCCCGGCCCTCCTTCCTGTACTGGCTCAGCAGGCCTTGAAGCCAGGAGCAGAACCCCGGGATGGGCGACAGGCTGGAGAACTGGGCCATGTGGGGGAACTCGCTCTGAAACAACGGCACAAGGAGAAATTCATCTTACTTTGTAAAACCTTTTGAGATTAAAAGCATGAAACCCACTTCCCATAACCCGCTAATGTCAGAGCTTTGATTTGCTTTTAGCTAACTTTGAAACCGTTTAGCGCACTAGCTTCTGTTCTGTAAACTTTCAGTTAAAGTTTGACACCCGTGTTAACGTTTTGGTAACCGACTGAAGTAAGACCATGCTCTTATTTTGAAGATTGATTACACTGCAGTTCCGCTTCCTCTTCTCATGTTTCCATTTTTTTGGCAAACACACAACAGACAAACAACCAGGGAAGCAAATTGAACAAACACAAAAATCTGAATCTTTTCCTCACATCCTCCACTCGTGATGCGATGCAGCAAATGTTTATTCAGTACCCAGAATGCATCACTGCAGTGTCACCTGTGGTGTCGTAGCCAGTTCGGTAAAATCAGCAACTATGAAATTGAAACCATGAGTGAAAAAAAAGTCACTTCCTGAAGTGCAAACCGTACAGTTAGGTGTCTACTAACAAGTTTGGTCCTGTTTTGGTTGAAATTAGCATTAGCTTCCACTAGCTGCTATACTGCCATAGCAGCTAGCATTTGCAGAAATAATGTTTATGATTAGTGCTTTGGGGTTAGCGCAGCTAACCTTTTAGCTAGTGGCGCCCACCACTGATGAAACCCAAATGAATCATAATCAGCCCTTCCATCATCTCATGCATACGGAGGGATGGTGGATAACAGAAATATATTTGGCAGCTGTAAGTTTAGACTGACTCCAGAATGAGAGTAAAACCTGAATGTGCCAAGGCTTCCTTCGGTCTTTGCTCTCTCGTGGAAACGGTTGCAGAGTTTCGTGAAGCAGCTGTCTGAGTGGATCTGTGTCTCCATCCTGTCACAGATCCACTCAGACAGGAAGCAGCAGAGACAACAGGGAGGAAGTCTGCAGAGACCTTCACCCTTCACCGGTTTTCAGAGACGAGACGGAGGTTCAGGCTCGGTGTGAAAACAGAACCAGGACGTCCTTGTTGCTCGGGCGGCTCGACCCCGTCGGTTCCTCCGTCTGGGACTTCATTACGAATCATCTGAGCTGCTCCATGAGGCGGCCTGCTGATGCTGATGGATGATCCTCTCCTTCCTCTTCCATCCCTCGCCTGTAACACCTGTCCCCGTCTCTAAACTGCCTCCCCTCCTGTGTGTCATCTCATCGGCAGCGGTCACCCACCGCTCTGAGCTCCCTGCCGTCTCAACACCCTTTCATTTAGCAGAAAGAAAGCCTCTCTCTTCTCTTCAGACACATTTCTGGGCTTGGGTGTCTACGTTAATAAGTGAGAGAACAATATGTCAGGCAGAAAGGCAATCGCTGTCTATGAAAGTGGAAGTGCGAGACACCGCCTGGTGGGACACTTTATTTTTCTTCTACTCTACCTTATTTCACCCACCTTTCAATTTAAAAATCAAGGCTCCTTGCTGTTCTCCACTTTGTTTCTTCACACTTGACTATGCTGTAGCTCTGCCTTCCTCACACGGAGCAAAAGGTAGTGGAAAAGAGAGCGATGGTATGAGTAAGAAAGCAGCGGGAAAGGCGAAAAAGGGAACGGATGACTGAGTGAGTTCTGCTTCGGGGTCCAATCTACAAAGACAAACAAGATATTCCTCCTGCACCTGAAATTGCAACTGTGACCTTTTCTTTCCCACTCCATCATCTCTCCATCATTACAGCCAGTCCTCTGTGGCAATGCTGTCCCTGTCAGACAGCCTGGATCTCTGCACATCATAGGTCAGCGTTAGCTTCAGGAAGTCAGCTACTTCAATAGCCGACAAGCAAATCAACCAATCAGATGACGAAACTCGGTGCAATTAGCTTTCAGACGTGGTGATTTGATGAAGTTCAAAGCAAGAATCACAATGGGGGGAAAGGGATTTAACTTTCCAAAAGCTAAATGCAAGATCTGCTGCTATTTCATACCAAACAACAGATTTCACCAACTAACGACCCATAAAATAAGGATGAAGTGGAGAAAACTGTCAGCATATCCAACAGTGCGTTCCCACCAGGCCTGTTCTGTCCGCTTTAATCCGGCTCCAGTCAGTCTGTCTGGAAATCCGGTTCGGCTGGTGAGGTGTGAATGCTAATCGACCTCTGACCTCTGGTGCTCCGGACTTCGGTCTGGGTTCAGTTGAAGTGAACTCTGGTTTGGTTTGAATGTGAACGCCAAAGAAAATCTGCAAATGCCACACTGAGAAACTTTGGGGTCCACTGCACAGTGAATGACATGTCAACATATCTGCTGATGAAACGATGATGCGTTAACGATGATGCGATGATGCGATAATGATGATGCGATAACGATGATGCGTTAACGATGATGCGATGATGCGTTAACAATGATGCGTTAACTATGATGCGGTGATGCTTTAACGATGATGCGTTAACGATGATGCGATAACGATGATGCGATAACGATGATGCGTTAACGATGATGCAGTGATGCGTTAACGATGATGCGGTGATGCGTTAACGATGATGCAATAACGATGATGCGTTAACGATGATGCAATGATGCGTTAACAATGATGCGTTAACGATGATGCGATGATGCGTTAACGATGATGCGATGATGCAATAACGATGATGCGTTAACGATGATGCGTTAACGATGATGCGGTGATGCGTTAACGATGATGCAATAACGATGATGCGTTAACGATGATGCAATGATGCG